GTTAGTCCAGAAGGACAAAAGAAGAGGAGCCCCTGTTGTTGCAGAAAGGGAAAAGAAGCTTCAGACCAGCTTGACATTTAATGCTCCAACACTGGGAAGAGGGGATTCAGCCTGGGAAGGGCTAAAGCCCAGCTTTGCTCACAGAGGAGCCGGCTTCGAGGGTTTCCCAAGCTAAATGGCTTGGGAGAGCTGGAGCTTCTTGCTCCCCTCCTGCCTGAGGAGCTTAAAAAAACGGGGCCGTGACACCTCCCGGGGCTGTGACACCTCCCGGGGTGATGCCCTCCCAGGGCGGCTTCAAAGCCAAAGGCAATGATGCAAAAAGTGCAATATTGAGTTATCCCAAACCCCCCCATGAAACACTATTGCCTTGCGGGCACCTGCCCCAGATTCCCCGCACCTCCCGAACTGCAAACGACCCCATTCCTAAAAACCCAGAGCTCCTCGCGCTGCTTCCCTGGGATTCAAAACTGGGATTTGGCAGGTCCCTTGGGCACAGCCGCAGCAGAGCCCGGTGTTTTCCATAGGGACTGCGTCTCACCCCGCAAAGCTCGCTCTTACCAAAAATTCCCGGCAGCTTGTTTGGATGCGGGAGGTTGTTCGTCTTCTTGGGTTGCCGCTTTCTCGGGGGCTTGGCCGCCCGTGTAACGCGCGCGGGGCTGGGGCTCGGGCTCGCCGGGAAAAGCGTCACCATGAAGGGATGCTTGGAGCGGGGCCCCCGGCGCCCCAGCAGCCCCGCCGAGCCCGGGTCGACGCTGTGCCCTGCAGGGACGGGACCACGTGCGGGTTTGTGCTCGGAATGAACTCATTCAGTTAAAGCAAAAAGAAAAAAATACAGGAAATTTGCAGCAGAGAGCTGTGGTTTCAGCATCCCAAGCGGCTGGACCACCCTCCTGGGGCTCCGGGGGGGTGGATGCTGGGCAGCCCACACAGCTCACAGAGGCGGTACGGTCTCATCCTGCATGGCCATCACCGTGCGATGGTCATGTAGCGTAATTCAAAAATTAAAACCAAGTGAGACCCAAGCGACTGATTTTTTTTTTTTCCCCCCCTTTGCCACCGGACAGGAAAGCTCGGCGCACCGGGAGGGAGGGGGACAGATGGGGCATTCACCGCTGCGCTGTCTCCCCGTGGGAGCGGAGATGCTCTCTGTGTGCCTGCGCACCGGCAAAAGGCACCTTTGGAGCAGAGTTGCTCCCGTGGTGAGAAGAGGGTTAATCCTCCGGCGCACACACGAGGATCCCTCCAGGTAAGGAGTTCATTAAGCACTAATGGGGTTATTACACCCACACCAGGAACCCCATTAGCAGAAATGCCTTTGGGAGGCTTTGCCATCAGGGCTTGCCTACAAACCCAGCCGACTTCTGGCATTTGTGGGCTCTCCATCACAGCCGGGAATTTAAAATTGCAGGAAGACGAACCCCACCACTGCCTGCTGTGGCACCAAGGGGGAGGGGAGAGGACCCCAGTTCCTGGGGATTTGGCCCCCCCAATGCTGCGGGTAGGTGAGGCAGGCTTACCATCATCCGTCTCCACGTAGAGTCGCAGCCCCAGGTTGTATTTCTGATCCACTAACCAGTGGTTGCTGGCGGCCGTGACATCAAACACTAGCCAGCCCTCGGTCCCAGCACGCAGGTCCTGGACATCCAACAGGAACAGATCAGATTCCCTGTAGAAATGAGGGAGAAAAAGAGCGAGTAACAGTACCCAAAGGGCACCGGCACCAGCGATA